CAAGAGTTGGGAGGGCCCTGAAAGGTAAGCAGTTCCTTCACGTCGAGAACCCAAGACACAGGAGCGTCACCCACCAGGGCCCAAAGGTGCCAGCACTGTGACCCGCCCAGATGGCTCAGCTCCTTGTGGGCCCTCAGAAGGAGGGGGCTATACAGGATAAGAGTGATCCAGATGGGGGAAAAGAATGTGCATCCACCCACTGGGTGGTTCTGTGCAGGCGTGAAGGCAGGCGGCTCCTGGCAGCACAACAATGAATGTGTGCCAAGACCCTCAGCCCTCAAAGATGGCCCAGGGCTCAGAGCCCCACCACAGCCCTGCTGCAGCACCCGGCTGTGCCCTCACAGCACATGGGACACACCAGTCAGGAGCAACAACAAACAAAAGCTCCCAAACTCACAGTGAGAACCAAGTGGGCCAACTGCAGGCCTAACGGGAAACTTTCTGTCCTTCCAAACAAAATCAAAACACACATACAAATCAGAGGGCCCAGCAAACACCCAAATTCTACATCAAGGCAAATTAGGTTCTGGCTGCTCAAGCAACTCTAATTTCTTGCAACAGATCAGGAAAACACAAAAACTGTTACAATTCTAAGCAACTTCTACTTTTTACTTTGTAGACTTCCATGCAGCATCACCACTTACGTTTCTGCTATAGCTTTAGGTTACTTAACATATTCTCTACTAAATGGAAAGAGAAAACAAAGGCACCACGTAAAATGCTGGAATAAGCCCCAGGTCCAGGTTAGCCAGCCGGCAATGGGGACCCCCCTGGCACAGGCTCCAGACCAGACTTGGCCTTCATTTCTGTACTGAGTGTAAGGATGACCCTTCTGTGGCTGGACTGTACTATGATTTAATTGTCAGGGTCTTCATCTTGTCTCCCCCAATGCTGATAGTAGCGTATTGATTTCTACCTTTCATAGCCCACAAAGCACATATTCAGAGGGTCAATAACTATTGATTCATTGATTGCCTCATGGAAGCCAATGTATCTGTTATTAAGATGTGTAGAAACATGAACTTCCACAAATTAACTTCTATCTAAAATGCCGGAGGAAAGTATATGACCTAATGAAGACCACTTTTTAAAAATTCATTTTGTAATTATAAAAATAATTCTTTGTAACAGAAACAAACCACACATAAGTACAAAAAGAAGACAAAGTACAGGTTCCCTCTTCCTCTTCCCTCTCCTCCCCCAACACACACTCACTCACATTCACACACGCTCCACCCTTTGCTAACTGTGAAGTGCTGCTTCCACTCGGGGCTGTGTCCCTAGAGCCTGGGGCAGTGCCTGGCACCAGGCCACACACACCCCATAATGATCTGCTGAATGCCAGGTGTGTGTCCTTCCAGATGGGCTTCCGTGCTGAGTGCCTGCACTTGTGCATGGAGAGGGTACATTCTCTATACTCTACACTAAGGAGTGACGTTTCTACTTAATATATTGGCACATCTTTTAAAGTAAACCTTTGAATGATGCCATCATGAAGTAAAGAATCCAATGGCATGTTTTACAGGGAGGAATTGGAGATCTCCGATTATTATTAACTTTTTATGATGGAGAAATTTCAAAGTGCACGGAAGTAGCCAGAGCAGAACAAAGAACCCAGGCACTCTCATCCAGACCCCAACTGTCCACTCAGACCATCTCGCCCTCCTCATCCCCTCTGCTTCCCCACCTCACACTGATCTGAGGCAGATCCCAAACACCATTTCATCTATGAACACCCAGTATCTATCGCTAAAGGATGAAGATTATTCTAACATAACCACAATGCAGTGATTAAGGAATTCCTTAAAATCATCATTCACTCCACAAACGTCCATGAGACACATCGATAGCCTAATTTTCGAAGGAGTGATTCTTGGATCAAATGCCGATCCAAGTGACAGCTCTGGATCAGGCTTTGATCGAAGCCAGAAATCCTGGGATGCCACTTAGACGTGACCCAGGGCAGGGATGCAGTCATTGCTTTCATGGGCAGCATCTGAAACTTCTGGACCAAATAACAGGACCCTGCCTACCCCCCACTGAGGCTTGCACAGGTGCTGTGGGAAGGTGGCTGTGAGGTTCTGCACCCTCAGACTGTTGTTGATGCCCCAGGGGTAGCAGCAAGGCAGTGGAAAGCTGGGGCCCCTGCTGCGACACCCCCAGGTAAAGGCAAATTCGCTCAGGGAGGGTCACAGAAGCTGGAAAGTGAGCCACAAGCAGCAAAGCAATTTGCTTATCCTAAGGATCGCCTTAATTAGCGTGCCGAAAACACCACCCGGCTTCCAGGGAAGGCCCTGGCACACGCTCTCCACCTGACTGAATCAGCAGCTATCTCCTCCTAATAAATCTCTGCTTTCCCATGTCATCTCCCAACAGCAAAGTCCCCAGCAAACCTCTCCCTGTCGTGTGCAGGGGAGCCTGCTCCTCCCTTGCTCTACAAGCTCAGCTCTTGAGTGACACCCTGAGACGTCCAGGACAGCCCCGGACCCTGAATGGCAATAGTGATAGGGATGGGGATGCAATGGGCAGGGCTGAGGAGCTGCACCTGCCAAGCCCAGGGCGGACCCTGGCCCAGGGAAGAGAGGACCCATCCCAGGTGCCTCTGCCACCTCCCTTCTCACCTTCCAGTTTTCTTCCTGGAATCGTCCAAGTTCAAAGAAGAAATAACTGCCCTGGTTGGGAACAGCAGGCAGCAGCCTTTCTCTCATCAACTAAGCTCAATAGTCAGCCCATGGCACGTTTATTCCTATATTTCCACATGGCAAGTTTCACCCCCATGGGTCCTAGCTCCAACCCCGGAGCTCTGGCTCCAGGGGATCAGGAGGAGAATCTGCAACCAACCTCCTGGACCCACCCATCCCTCTCTCCCCACCAGAAATGGAACCAAGAGAGGCAGAAGCCTGAACAGGCTCAATCCAGAAGCATAGAAGATAGAGAAAATCATTGATCTTTGCAATGCATTATTGATTTTGCTGTTGTGCTGGCAGCCGCGGATGTTCCCTCCCTCCTCAGTCAAAGCCGGCCATTAGCGCGCACTCCCAAGCTTTGGCCTGGACGCACCCGCTTGGTGTGGGGAAAGTGGCTCTAGATAACACCTGCCTCCAGTGGTCCGCATGGAAAGGACTGTCCACAAGTGGATGATGTCACCAAGGACATCTCCCTGGCCCCAGACCCACTGGACAGCTAGTGCAACATGGTCGCTGGTCTTGCACTCCAAACGCTGAGTGCCCAGGATCCCCGGCTCTCAGAGAGGGTCTGTGCAAGGCTGCATTTTCAGCAGACTCTGGGTGTGCTTGTCAGGAGCTGGGCCCCCTCCCATGGAGTGCCTCCCTTGTGCTGTGCTGCAAAACCCTGGGCTAGCATGGCAGCTGGGGCTCGGCTTCCCCACGGTGGCCTTTGCCTGTCTGCACTCTGACATACAGCCACTGAGCTCCTCCGTCTACCAACTCCTGAGCAGCCCACCCTCCTGGGACCCCAGGGCTGCTCCTGGCACCAGTGATGTGTTTTTATTTCTTTGTTTGAGTTGCTGAGTGTACCATGTACACTTTTCTCAGTCTGAAGGTCTGGCCTTCTGGGGGGGCAGTCTTTGCCCACAGAAACAGGCCAGCGCATCCCTCATCCTCCCACCCCAGCCTCCCTGGAGGGTATGCTGAGCCTGCCTGCTTTCTTCTTCTGGCTGACGACTACCAAGACATGATATACACAGACACCAACTGTCAAAACGACAATCAGGGCATTATCATCTCTACCAGAATCCTGCCCCTGCACTGGCCAGAGCTGCCTGTTTCTGGGACACAGTAAACATTACCAAATAACCTCGCCTGGGCAGCCAGCAGGCAGGCCCCAGGCCTAGGACACGTATGAGGTGACAGGCCACTGGTGTCACTTCACCCCCAGGAAAGGAAACTTCCGTTCAGTGGCGCCTGGTGGATTTGAAAAGACTCAGAGCAGCAGGGTGAGATGCTTGGCCCCAGGCCCCACGTCCAGCTTGGCCTTCGGGGGCCTGGCCACCCACGAGCCTGGGATGTGCTCAACACAGAGTGAGGTTTTCCAAACAAAAGCAAAGCAACTTCATGTGGCAAACGTTCCGGAAAGCAGGACACAGCCCTCAATACCAGGCCTCTTTTGACGCAAACTGCCCACCTACAGACTCCCATTCACCCACGCCCGCACCTATCCCCCAAAATACGAAGCCAGATAAATAAAGAGGACAACCACGAGCTCAATTCTCCTTTACATGTTTTTACTGGCATAACCCCAGTAGAGCCAGCCCCTTGCAGCTCACCAGGCGGCTGCAACAGGTGCAGCCCAAGCTAAGGCTTGTGGTTCTCCTGGGTTGTTCTACAATAATGCAGCCAAAACCCTAAAGGAAACCGAGGCCTGCAGCTGCAGCACTCACTGCCAAGGCGGCGACCTGACCACTGCGGCCCAACCTGCCCCACCTGTCTGAGTGCGCGGCGCCGGGTCCAGTGCACAGGGGCCGCGGCCTCCGCAACCAAAATAGAAGCCCGCGGGGGCCCGGCCGGAGCCCGGGCTGGCCGGAGCGAGGCCTGACCTAGCGGGGCCAGACCGGGCGGGCCGGGGCGCGACCGGGCCTGGCCGAGCGCGCCGCCCCCTCCCTGGCCGGGGTCTGCAGCGCGCCCCCGCTCCCCCGCGCCCAGGGGAGCCACCTGCGCGCAGGGACTGGGGAGCCAACCGGGAAGGGGAGAAGGCCGGGAAGGGATCGCAGAGGGGTTCAGGGGGTCGGAGGGGTTCAGGGAGGGGTCCGGGTAGGTGTCTCCGGGAGGCGTCCCGGGAGGGGCCCCGGGGGGATCCAGGAAGGAGTCCAGGGGTCCGGGGGATTTTAGAAGGGGTCTCCTGCAGGGGTTCGAGGAGGGCCCCGAGGGTCCGGGGAGGAGCCTAGAGGTGTGGAGCAGGGGCTCCGCGGAGGGTCCAGGCCGCCCCCAGCGCACCTGCCCAGCCTCGCGCGCCCTCCCTCCCGCGCCAGCCCAGCCGCTTACCTGGAGCGCGCCTCCTGCTCTCGGCGGCTCCCAGCCGGGCGAGTTCGGGCGCCAGGAATGGCGGCGGCGGCGGCGGCGGGAGGCGGCCGGGCCAGGGAAGGGGCGGCGGGGAGGCCCGGCGGCGGCGACTGTGATGCTGCGGCGCGCGAGGGCGCGGAGGCCGGCGCGGGGACGGAGGGCGCGGGGCGGGCGCGCAGGCCCCTCCTCCGCTCCCCCTCCCTTCCCGCCTCCTCCCCTTTCCCTTCCCCTCCCCCTTCTTCTCTTCCCTCCCCTGGCCCCGCCCCTTTCTTCCTCCTCCCTCCTCCTCGCCCCTGTTCACCTCCCTCCTTCCCCTCCCCCAACCTCTCTTTTCCTCTCTTCTCTTTTTCCTCGTCTTTCTTCACCTTCGTAACACTCTTCCACCTCTCTCCCCTTCTTCCCACTTTTGCTTCCCACTCCTTCCTCCTCACCTCCCATCTCTCTTGCCTCCCCGCCAGGCCCAGAGGGTTATCCCTCAGCCCTGGCTTGGTCTGTGCTGAGTCAAGCACCCTCCCAGAACCAAGAGGTGCCCTGTCACCCTCTTCCTCACCAGCTGTTAATAGACAAGCTTGCCCCTTCTGGGGTCCTGGATGAACCCCACCCTTTCCAGGCCTCCCCCAAATCCCCCAGGTTTTTTTCACCCCCAGACCCTGAGCCAGCTCTTCTGAGAACCTGACCTGCAGTGTGGGTGTGGCACGTGGCACCCAGAACACTTGGCTGCTGACTTTGGGCAAGAATATTTCACACCGGACTGCTCCTATTCCCCAGGAGCAGGGGCTGGCACCACCTGGAGTCTTGGTTTCCCTGAACCCCCATGCTAGCCTTTTGCTAAACGTTCGTTTTCCACTCTAGATGGCAAATGGTCCTCCTGTGAGGTTGCTGGTGAGGCGTGTTTGTGACTAGCCCATGGGTTTGGGGATCTGGGGGCCCTCAGAGATGGTGCTCCTCCATCCAGACCTCCTCCCTCTGCCCCCAGGAGAGGTGACAGGGCTGGCACAGTGACTGGCCAGGCCGGCAGGCCTATTGCGGAACACAGTCCTGAGAAGGGGACTCCGTTCCTAATGGAACCGGCTAGGATTTCCCCTAAATGTGAGGGGTTGGGGAGCCCCTCTCCAGGCCAGGTGATACCTCCCTGGACTACAGACTGCTGTTGAGGGCCAGGGGTCCTGAAGCTGTTTTCCTGCTGAGCACTGCTCTGAGAGCCAGAGTTTACAAATGAAGCCCGTCCCAGGCCCAACAGTCACAGAGTTAAAGACCCAACAGTCACAGAGTTCCCTTCAGGGGCCTCCTGTGGTTCCTGTGGTTCAGTGCCGGAGCTCTGACAACAGGGCTTGGGCCCAGCAAGGACTAAGATGGCAAAGCTGGTGTCAAGCAGGGTGGGGTGCAGCATGCACCCCCTCCTCCCTCTACCGCGTGGCAGCCACCACCCTCCGCTGAAGAGTCAGGGCCTGGAATCTGATAGACTCCCTTGACTCACAGCTCTGCAGTTTCCAAGGTAACCTCAGGCCTCAGCCCTCTGTACCCCGCAACGGTCAGTGTGGTCATCCTGGAAGGTTTGGGGAGCACGGAAAGAGAATGGCAGGTAAAGCCCACTGCACTGTGTGCTCAGGTTCAGTGCTGGTGACTATTACAAGAAAAAACTAGAGGAGAAGTCTTTTCCAAGCTCTTTTCCAATTGTATGGGTCCACGAATCCATGTTCCACATCCCATTTGGATGGAAACATAACGGAAATGGATTAGGACAGAACTGGTTTAACAGCATTCTATGCCCAAGGAGGGATGCACGCTTAGGATCTACACATGCAAGCATTGCACAGATCAGGGGGTGGGGGATTCTGTTTTATTCCTCACTAGTCAGACACACCTAGAATACCATGCCCTTGCTTGGTGTCTAAGGCAGCCAGCAGTATCCCGTGGGAGGGGAGTTGACGCACTGGGAGTCTTCAGCCTAGAAAATCAATGTGTGGAGTGCAAGACAGCAGAACCCCAATATATGCAAAACTGTCCAGGGAAGAAGGATTACTCTGTGGTGTGATAAAGGGCAGCATGAGGACAGATGGGTGGAAATTAGATGAGAAAGTGGATTTCTGCCCATTGTGGGCCCTTTCTGACAGACCTCACTGCGGAGGAGCCGGCTGCCCCCGCAGGAGCATGCCCTTCAGGGCCAGCGTCTAGACAGGCCTGGGGCCACCTTGGGAACACATTGCAGGGAGGGGACCGGTAGCAGAGGGGTGTGCTTCTCAGCAACTGCTGAATCCTCTCCTGGCTTTTAGACCCACATGCTCAGAATCTGATAGAGGGCAGCCCCGGGCAAAGAAGAGCATTTGCATGGCTGTCCTGGGACCCACATTTCTGGCATCATGACCTTCCAGAATCCTGTCCTCTCTAGCCTGTTTCCTAATGCATACAGAAGGACGTGAGAGAATTCAATAAAAACTCCGAAAAGCTTTCTACAGTGCCCAGGCGGCAAATGCAAGGGCTTCTTTGCACAGTGCTTATATAAAATTACCCTCAAACATGTTTATTGCATTCATGAAGGAGACAGGACTCTTGGTTGTAAGTGACAGAACTTCAGCTCGTACTATTGGCTCACTTGCATCCAAAGATGCTCCGGGTACCATTAGAACTGGGACTTGGATGCCATTATGAGGTCTTCCTTTTCCCTCCTCTCTGACCCTCTTCCCTGTTCCCTTCTCTCAGCATGATTGCCCATGTCTCCCAAAGTGACCACGCTTGCCTTTTTGTTCTTGTTTTACACTTTGTCATGGAACATTTCAAACATAGACATAAAAGTAGCAGGCCAGGCGCGGTGGCTCACGCCTGTAATCCCAGCACTTTGGGAGGCCGAGGCAGGCGGATCACCTGAGGTCAGGAGTTCGAGACCAGCCTCGCCAACATGGCAAAACCCCATTTCTACTAAAAATACAAAAATTAGCTGGGCATGGTGGCACACACCTGTAATCCCAGCTACTCAGGAGGCTGAGGCAGGAGAATCACTTGAACCCGGGAGGCAGAGGTTGCAGTGAGCCAAGATCATACCACTGCATTCCAGCTTGGGCGACAGAGCAAAACTCAATCTCAAAAAATAAAAATAAAAGTAGCTAAATGAACTCCAATCTTGCCTTACCTCTGACCCCCCTTACTTTCCGCCTCCAATATTAATTTCAAGCATATCACAGATCATATTAACCAATGTATTTTCTAGTTTCCCCAGAAATGCCAAGTGTTTGGATACTGAGACCATGCTTTGGAAAGTTTCTCTGCATTTCCCAGCCAGAATGTTGACACCATCTATATGCAGATGGAGCACGGTAACTGGATCGATAATAGTTAAGTCCCATATAAGAAAAAAACTCAAGTATGGCAGCACAAATAATACTCAGCTTCCAACACGGCCCAGGTGGATATAAGGAGAGAGGCTCCTCTGCTTCCACTTTGCAGTGCAGGAGGGAACAGACACGTACTGGGCTGGGAGCCGTTTCCAGATTGCCCAGTGCGAAGCCTTACGCAGTGAAGGAGGTGTCTTCAGAAAGAGCCGGCCTGACACCTCTCACCTGTGGTGGCGGGTGGAGTGTCCAGGCTAAGCTTAGAGAGAGAGTCAGCACAGCAAGTGGAGAAACGGGGTCCTCTGAGGGACTGTGGGAAGGTTGGGTCTGGGGCCTGCCAGCAGCTTCCAGAAAAGTCTGGGGAGATGTCCTTTGAATGTGACCACACTCTGCAGAGACGTGGGTGAGCCACGCCTCCACTGTTACCATGCAGTGGCTGCTGAGACCATGCTGTGACTCCTACTCCTATCTCTGTCCCTCCCCCCACCCCAGAAAAGGCTGGTGAGAGTGTGGCCTTCCTGGCCAGCCTCTCCAAAATAAGGAGTCCGCACCGGTCTCTGTCAGGCACCCTGATTGTTAGAACAGGTTAATGAAAGAAGCCGAAAGGGATTTTGAAGGCTCTGAGACCCCTAGGCTCCTCCAGCACCCTCCTATGTCTTTATTACCACTGTGACCCCCACAGGACCCACAGAGCTCTTTTTGTTAAAGCCACACTTGGAAATGTGGGGTCACATCGGCAGAAGCATAGAAATGAAGGCCATGCTGAGATGCTGTCATTGCTCTGTGCTTCTGCACAGTGTTCAGCTGTCAAACCACTAAGTGCTAGATAAATCTGGTGAAGGGGTGTAATCCACCCTTGGTGCATACACTCATGGCAGCACTTCCCACATCACTGAACATGCAGCATGGGTTACTAAGCCATCCTTCATCATACTGGGGAGTGTACAGGACGCTAGTGTGCGCCCCAGCTAACTATAGATCTAATCAGTGCTGGTGTCTGCCAGATGAACTTGCCCCAGCCATGCCTTTCTGACCTTTACAGTGACTACTGTCACCAAATGCCAGACCACGGACCTCCCCGCATCCCTGGCTGGATGGCAGACACCCACTTATGTGTCAAGGCTCCGCCCGGCATCATTTCCTCCTACACAAACCCACACACCCCGGGGCAGAGCTAATATCCCCCACCCTGCTCTGCAGCTATAATGTCACCTTACACATCCCTTCCTTGGTGCCTGCACCAGCTTCCATTGTAATTGTTTGTTGATAGTCTTCTTTCTTCTCCGGTCTACATTTTGAACTTACACAGAGTGGTGAAGTCTATAGAACTTCTTTCAGAGTAATGTGTTTAAATGCGTAAAGTCAAGTACAGGATTCAAAAGGAAACGAATTATACCAAAATACAGCTACCAAAATACTTTAAAATGTGATCTACTTGCTTCTTTTTTAATAACATGCTCTAGCAGCAGATCTGATAGCTGTAGTTTCCAAGTCATGATAAGTCAGCCGATATTTTAAGGTCTGTGACAAGCATCGTGTGATGTGAGAATCGCTGTGATTTCTGCTGGGGAGAAGTCCACACATACTGCTGATGTGGCTGTGTTTGTTGCCTGCATGTACACCCGAAGGAAATGCTTCCTTTCAGTTAGAGGTTAGTAGGAAAAAAAAATGTAATTCTTTTCTTATCATCCATTCCATCTGGATGGACCCTTCAAAGTTGATCAGACTAAGAATTACTATTTTAAAGGAAAGATGGTATCTCCAGCATCTTGCATAGTGCTTTATAAA